GGTGCCTTGGAGGGGATGGAGGTAGCACCCAGGCATGGCCAGATGGGCTCCAGAGAGCTGGGGAATGTAGTGCTGGTGCTGGAGGGGACCAGCTCTCACAGGACTGCGAATGGCCTCTGCCTCACATTTCCGTGTTTGAGCAGCTCAGTGAGCCTGTGCTAGGGCTAAGTTACATTCAAGCAGCCGGGTGAAATCTTGAGAAGACTTGAAAAATGCAGTAAAAGTGTAGGATGAAAGGTTGCAGCTGCTCTGTCCCACAGTGCTAAGCACAGGGGTCAGTCTGGAGTCTAAGCCTCATCCATGTTTCCATTAGCAGTCTGTGTGATGGGACATGAGCTGCTTCTGGCAGTTGCAGATACCACCAGGCTGGGAGAGATGCAAGAGGGCTGGAGAATGGGCTGAGGTTTCAGAGTGGGCTTGGTGAACGGGAGGAATGAGCTGACAGAAAGGAAGTTGTTGCCTGGGGATCGAGGAAAGTGTTCATGGGAGGCAATCCCAAAAGCACAGATGTGGAATGAGAGCACAGACAGAGCAGGTCCTGCCCCTGCAAGGGGCCCTGAGGGAGAGCTCTGCCCTTGGGGCTGGGGGATTGCTGCGGGGAAGTGGGCTGGGAAAGGGGCCAGCGCAGGCAAGGGAGCAACCAGATCCCTGCACCTTGGTGGCCTGGGCAGGCAGAGATGGGGTTCATCTGCTGTGGGAGGGGTTCAGGTCACAGTTCTGGTAATGGTCCTGGAGGCAGGAGCAGTGATGTGCTGGAATAAGGCACAGGGTAGTGTCAGTCCTTGTCCTTGAGGGAGCAGTGCGTGCATCCGCTTGGATTGATGGAGGGTGGCAGAGGTACTGCTGTGGGGTGTGTGACCTTCCAGCCTGCATTTCTCTGTTTCCCTGATTATTATCTGGCACTGCCGGCTCCAGCTGGGGTCAGGGCTCTGGGATGAGGGCTGGGAGGTGCTGGGAGGGGAGCCATGCCCTTGGGGGCCAGCACTATAGGCAAGGGCAGCAAAGGCAGAGTAGTGAAGACGGTCGAGGGAGGACAGATCTCATGGACAGTACATGCACCAACCCCACCGGGCACCAGGGCAGGGCAGTGCTTGCAGCAGGCACCACGGGAGCATGGATCCTTCTCCACCAGCCCCTGCGGCCACTGCCCAGAGCTGTGGGCACCTCCTGGGCCAGGGCACAGTTTGGTTCTGGTGGGTGCAAAGGCAGGAATTAATCTCACAGACTTTCCCTCTGCATTCTTAAAAGTGGGATTCCGGGGAGCAGAGCAGTTAGGATTTCTGCCTCAGCGGGAGAGCAGAGCTGAGCTGAGCCACAAGGACAGGAATCACATGTGTGCTGAATAGCTGATGCTTTGCAACCGAGTAGGGATCCTGGGATTGCACTGTCTGCTCCTTCCCGCTCCTGATAAATCAGTGCCCAGGGAAATATCATTCATGTTGGCTGTATTTAATAAATTAACTCTCAGCATTTGTGCTCTCTGAGGTTGTTACTGAGTTAGTGTAGCTCCAAACCCTGCAAAGGGAAAAGACACATCGGACCCCCTGGGAATGGATAAAGCCATCCAAAGCTAGAAACCAAATATAAACCCAGACTATGCAAATCCAGTCTAACGAACCCTGCTGCAGCACAGACATCCCATCTGGGAGTGGGATGATCCACAAGCAATGTAGCAAAGGAACTGATTGTTTTAATGACTTTCCTCTTCCCAGAGAGAAATGGGAGGGGGGGTTTTGAAACTTGAGGGTTGCAAATGAAAATTCCCTGCCTCTCCATCAGCAATGTGAGATTTGTGGTGCTGGGGGGGGCAGAGGAAGGCACCCTGAATGAACTTGAGGATGCTTTCTGGCATTAAATCCTTTGAATTAGTGAGCAAAGAGCATGCCCTGTGTTTCTGCTTTCAAGTCACAGTCCAGAAATACCAATCTGCTGGGCAGCTCCCCAGACACATCAGTCCTTATTGAAGCTCTGCTGTGTGGAGCAGGGCTGAGTGCTTTGCTTCACTAGGAAAGGGCATGGAGGCAGTGGGTGAGCAGCTGAGCAGCAGGGATCCGGCTTTCTGGGCACTGCAGACTGTAATTTATCTCCATGTGGAACTGAAGGGGCTTCAGAGGGGAAAAAATGTCATGAAGTTAAATGGCAGTGTTGCCTCGGCATCCTTACAAATAAGCTTTACCTGCTGTTCATTCCCATCTTGGTTGCGAAGGCCATCATTTTCCTTAACAAAGGCATGGAAGGATGCTGGGAGCAGTTGTCAGGGAGCACACAGTCCCTGAGGGAGGAGGACTGTCAAGGGGCCCTGAGACACAGCCCCACTTGGGGATTGCCACCAGCCCCACTGCTGAAGTTCCCCGAGGATGCTCAGCAAGCGTGCAGAGAGCAGAGGCTGGTGTGGGCTGTGTGGGCAGCAGACCCCAGGGTAGCTGGTCCTGCTGGTGCTACAGTCTTTGGGCTGCATTGTCCCAGCAGATGCCTTGGAGAGAAGGCAGAGCCTGGTTTTGGCATGTGTAGGGACTGGCCATGTTTAGTGCATGGCTTCCATGGCTCTTTGGTGTTTCTTCATGTTTCCATGCTTTGCCTGTGCTCTGCCTCTGGCTAAGGCTCTGGAATGCTGGTGCTCTGAGGACAGCACCACCTTGGGCTTTGCAGGCTGAGGTCTAAGTCCTGGCTTTCAGGTTGGGCAGTTCTAAATCAAGCCTGTCTGCTCTGTCCCTCTGCAGTACTGGAGATGTCTCAACTTCCAGTTATGCATCATACTGGAATTGTTGGGTATGTTTAAAGGAAGGTGACATGGGCGTCCAGCTGGGAACCCTCCCTCACAGCGGCTCGAATGGGTGCCATTACCTCCAGCCTGGCCCTGAGGACCTTCCAGGCAATCTTCTTTGCCAAGGAACCTTTAGGACATTTGGTGAAAACCACTCCTGAAGCTGTGATTTCTCCCTGCCCTTAGCTGACTCCAGGGCTGTGATCCATCAGGAGCTGGGCACACAAACTGTACATACCAAACGACCCCCATTGTGGTGACAAATGTCCCTAAAACGTGTGACACACCTCAGAGCTTCGTATCTGGGATTTACAGCCTGGCTGACCACGGCTTTTGCTCCCACTGAGAGGGTCAGCTCCTGATTTGGAGGCAGTCCCCGGCAGCTTGCTGTGCTCTCTGCGCGCTGCTCGCCCTGGGAGCCGCGGCAGTCGTGGGGCTGCAGAGCCCGCTTGTGGGTTTCAGTTTAATCACTGGGGCTGAGGAACCTCTATTCATTCCGGCTCGCATTCATCTGTGTCCTAGTAACGCTGCTCTCCCAGCCTCCTTCCCAGCGCAGGCACACACGGCTGGATAATGGCAGGAGCCCGGCAATCGCGGAGCTGAATAGCTCTGTAATTGCGGGGCTGTAATGGCGAGCTGGAGCTCATTAGCCATTATCAGCCGTTTCAGCAGGACAATGCAGCACCCCGGGGTGCGCGGCTGCGCTGCTGCACCCGGTGGCCCTACACGCTGCTCGGCGGCCCCGGGGCCAGCCCGCCGCTGACCCCTCGCACGGCTGCAGAGCCCGCTGGAGGGAAGCTTTGGCTCTGGATGGGAATGATGGACTGTGTATTCAGCCAGTGACACGAGGCATTCCTGCCCCCCGGTTCCACTGTCAGCGTTCGGGAAGTTACAGACCCACCGTGGCGCTGCCCAAGCACCCCAAGCTGCTCCATGGTGGCACTTTGTCATTTTCCTTGTCTGGCTCCAGCAGCTCATCCTTCACTTGACTGACTTCTCCTCCTGTAGTTTATTTGTTTTCCTCTTGATTTCTGTGTTTGTGTTCAGTGCAGGCAGTGGGTCTCCAGCATGGGAGCGCTCTCTGGGCTCTGCTTTCACGTAGGCATCCTCCATGCCCAGGGCATGCCTTGGGCAGGTTGGCTTATGGCAAGAAGCAAACGCTGCCATGCTTTGTGATGCCAGTGGGGGAGATTGTCTCCTGCAATAGGGGGCTGCACAGACATCCCCAGCTCTGCAGACTCTGGGTCCCAGGTTGATAGTCCTGCTTTTCCCACAGTAATCACATCCTGTAATGCAGAAAGGCACTGCAAAGCTGACTGCGAGGTGCAAATCTCTGCAGCTTCTGGCCTGATGTATTTTAAAGCAGGATAATCTTAGCAGGAGCATGCTGGAGAGCATGGCTGGGGAGAGTGGGGAAGGTGTAACCAGGCTGGGAGCAGAGGCCCTGCCACGAGTGTGTCCAGCAGTGGGACACATGTTGTCCTGGTGCTCAGCAGAGCCTGGGCAGGACCGAGGCCATGTGTGGGTGTAGGTACCCCTCATCTCCACCAGCAGAATGAGTAAGGAGGAGCAGCATCTTATTTCTGGCTGCATTGCCTGTCCCTGTGCTCACTGAGGGCTTTTGAATGAGAGAGTGATGCCACAAAGCAGGTTGTCCAAGCTTCTCTTGGCAGGTGAAACCTGAGTGTGGCTTATTCTCCAGGTAGAAGGTGTGAAGTTGTGCTGCATGGATAGTGGATAATGGCAGGAGCCGTTATCATGTAAGTGTCACTTACACTTGTAAGTGTCTTGCAGCTGGGTATTTGCAGGGATCCTGTGTTCTGGGGACTTTTGTTTGTTTTTTGTAACCCTTGGCTTCTCTAAACAAGTCTGTGTGTTTGGGATGACCCTACCAGGTGTTAGCTATATTTGCAGAATGGAGTGACATGCATCCCAGGGGGGACGTCTGGAATGGGAACAGGGAGGAGCCAGAGAGCCCCTTCCTCTTGTTGCCTTATGGTCCATGAAAGATGCCAGCTTACACAGCCACAGCCAGAATTCTGTGTGCCCAGCACTGCTGGTCATTGAGGATGAGGGTCCTCTCTGGAGTCAGGGGCCATTCCTGGTGAGGAGCACAGAATTGCACCAGCCCCTACTGTCCTTTGGGCCCTGCATTTTTGGGGAGGTACTGGGGAGGCCCAGTGTTTGGCTACCTCTTGAGTGCTTACCTGCTCATTTCTTCCTCTTCTCTCTGCAGGGAGCTCAATGGCAACAACATAACACGCATCAACAAGAATGACTTTGCCGGACTGAAGCAGCTCCGTGTCCTGTGAGTTCCTGATGAGGGGTCAGATGTCCCCATCTTGATGGATATTGGGCTTGATTTGTGGCCCCCCTTAGGGCTGCTGGAGTTAGCCTCTTTCCGTGGGTGTCAGCTAGCAGGGCTGGAGGGTATTGTGTTGGGCTGGGCATGGTGGATTTCTAGCTGGGAGAGAGTGGGAAGAGTCTGGGTTGTGTTGAAGGAATAATGGGAGTGAGGTGCCCTGGGTCAAAAGAAGCAATGGGGGCACTGGGAACCACTTTTGCTGAAGGCTGACCCCTTCTCTCTGCAGGCAGCTGATGGAAAACCAGATCAGCATGGTGGAGCGTGGGGCATTTGATGACATGAAGGAGCTTGAGCGGCTGTGAGTATCTGGTCATGGAGGGAGGTTGGTGAGGGACTGCTGGATTTAGTTGCAGAGAGCATCCTTTCCTTTTTTCCTTAAATCCTAATGTATCGGTGCTGCCTAATTTCAAACAGCTTCTCTTCTGTGTGGCAGTGGTATTTTACAGTTTGGGAAGCACACCTATTTCTGTTTCTATAGATCTTAGAGTTCTTTCTGCTTTTGAAGTGAGGAGCAGGTTAAACACAAATGACTTTTGCTGTATCAGCTGTGTCCTGTGTGTTAGCAAGGGAGCTGTAAGTTCTGGTCCAGCACTCAGTAAAATAGCTCAGCAGTTTAAAAATCCCAAGCTGCTGGAGCAAATATGAGGAGCTGAGCGAGCAGCAGGTTAAGAGCGCAGTTAAGCAGCAGTCAGCAGTTAACAGCTTGGAGTTCTCTCTGCATGTAATTACAACATTGTGAGTAGGTCCATTAGTGCCCCGTTGGCTGTCCCTGCCTGGGATTGTGGTGAGCAGGATGGGGTGTCCTTGCCAGGTGGGCTGTTCTGCTCTATTGGCCTCTCTGAGCGACCCAAAGTACCCAGCTCTGTGTGATGCATCCAGCTGGGCTGCAAATGGGATCATTGCTTTGTACTCCAAACCCTGACCCTTTTCTCGTTCCCCTGCAGACGGCTGAACCGCAACCAGCTGCACACCCTGCCCGAGCTTCTCTTCCAGAACAACCAGGCGCTGTCGCGGCTGTAAGTACTTCAGTGCCCGCAGGCTCCCCTGCCAGCAGTGCTGTGGGCTCACCTGGGGGCCTGCCGTGGCGTTTGGAGGGGTGCTGGAGCCTCAGCAGGGTGCTGCTCCTGGGGAGCTGTGCTGGTGGTTCTGGGGGTGTTGTCCCAGTGAGGGCTCGGCATGTGGCTGGGGAATGTCACCCCTGTTTCTGTGTGAGCCGAGCATGCAGCAAGGTGGGGAATGGGCTGTGACTTGCAGGAAACCTGAGACTGGCAGTGTTAAGGATGTCCTCGTAACACGTGGGGATATGGGATGATGTGCTGGCAGTCTGAGCTGGGTCTGGCATCACAGAGTTGAGCTGTGCCTGCACAGTGTCAGGTGGAGAGGTGCTGAGAGCTCCTCAGCCTCCTCCCTGAGTGTGGATCACGGGCTTTGGAGCAGGGTTCCCTTACACACCAGCCCAGGTTCTCATGAAAGGAGGGTAAAAGAGAGTGTCCCTAAGGGGGTCACATTCTGCCCAGAGAGCTCCATGGGGCACAGAGAGCCCCACAACCCTGCTCAAGACCTGCCTTTCTGTAGGTATCTGGAGAAGGAAGGGCTGCCCAGGGCAGATCCAGCCCTTCATGCCTGCTGCCCCCTCCTTGCGTTGCTCTGTCCCCATCCCTGCCTGTGCCTCTGCACCTGCAGAAACAAATGCAGAGACTGTCTCTTGCTGTGCAAGCCACAGCTCCACAGATCTCTCTGCTCCTCCTCCCTCTGTGCAGCAGCAGGCTGCTTGGGGAGGGCTGCTGGGGTTTTGATAAATATTCTGTGTTCCATATTGGGTTTCCCTTGCCTGGGGCTGTTTTGCTCAGGCAATGGTGCTTTCAGAAGTGCCAGCATTGTTCAAACAAAGTGTTTACAGGATCTCAGCTATGTCAGGCACCACTTACATTGGGAAGGGTGCTGTGAGGAGCAGAGGGTGCGTGCCAGACTGGGGCTGGGTGCTCTCCATCACTCAGAGAAGCAGCTTATACCCTGTGGATTAGGATGGTAGTTGCCAGGACACAAGCTTTCTGCTTGTAGCATCTTGTATCTCCATTGATCAGCTGTGACATGAAGATGCCAGGTCCCTGCTGAGGCAAAGCAGGAATGGATGAAATAACTAAATGTGCCGAGACATTCCCAGGACAGGCATGGCCACGTTGGGGCCAGGCAGCCCTGTCTGTGCAGTCAGGCTGTGGCTGAGCCTTTTTCTTCCAACAGTACCAGGGAGTCAGTCCCAGAGTCCAGCCCAAGGCGTGTAATGAAGGGTTAAAACGCTGTGTGGGTTGCCAGTATGGGATGTGTGAAGTGGTGGACAGGTGCCAAAGATGGGCCTAGGTAATGGCAGCTGATAGCACAGGCGTTCAGTTAATTATCAAATGGCATTTGTTGAGCTCAGCTGTGCCATAGCATGGCGCCAGCAAGGGCCCATCCTCCTCCAGCCCCCATTGCATAACAGAAACACGGGCAAGAGAATAATTTTACAAATATTGCTCTTTCCTTTTTCATCGTCTCTAGATTTTAATAGCAGGCTCTTTCAACAAGCAAACCCTAACAATTCATTGTGGAGATGCAGAAGAGCAGCACGTGTGTCTCCTACCCATACAGTGTGCCCCTACACAGCCGCCAGGCTCGCGTGGAGCCGGGACTGTGCCACCGTGTGCACGGGGCTGTTCACACCACCCAGGGCTTAACAGGGCTGTGCAAGATGCATTTCAGCCTCGTCCTGTTGTTTTACTGTTTACTGCAATGTGAGCCTTATTGCAAACCTTTTCCCTCCCACCCTATCTTGAAGTTGTTTTCTGGCCATTTCTGCCATGGCAGACTGCTTGGATTCCAGCACCTGGAGCTTTTCTTGTTCAATATAGGGCTGTGTGCATGGGCTCAGATTTTGGAGTTCCTCGACTATAGCTGGTGCTATGTCTTGGGGAGCTTTGGTGTGTGCTTGGAGCACAGGGTCCCTGTGATGAGCAATGGGACTGGGACAGGAAACACTGAGCCACCCTTCAGCCTCCTCTGCAGCAGGTTCCCCCACACACATTAATGAGGGTAGGGGTGACCAGAGAGCCCATCAGGAGCCAGTGTCCTGGCAGATCCTCGAGTTCTGCATTTGTGCAACACACCCAATGTGCCAGAGGACCTGCTGCTCCCTCTCCTTGAGGCTGCCTGTTGCTGAGGTGCTCAGGGCTGTTTCGGGGGAATGGCAGGGAAGGGGTGCTCTGTGTGGTTTCTCTAAACACACATGCTGGCTTAGCAGGAGGTGGGATCTGGACCAGTGCTAGTCCAGCCAGTGCAGGAGGTCATAAGGACACTCTTAAATTGCTGCAAACCCAGGTCAGGCTACAGGGATATGAGTCAGTGGGGAACAGGTTTAAGCTAAATTGAAATCAGCTCTCCTTGAACGAAATTGGAGCCTCCCCACTGGGCTTTGCACTTGTTTAACTGCTGAAAGGGATCTGGGGTGGCCTCACTGCTCAAGACCCCCTCTCTGCCTAGAAACAGGCCGGGACCTGTGCAGGTCTAGGAAAAGAAGGCTCTCACCAGCACCATTTTCTTGCAAAGCCTGATCTCCACTTCCCCTTGACCTGTCCACTGCAGCCACCCATGGCATGCTTCTCAAGTTCTGGAGTCCTTGCTAGGTCCTCATGTCCTCACACCATTGTACTGGGAGGTCTTGAATTAGCAAAAACAGACTGAATGAATCAGGCTGAGATCTCTTTAGTTGGGAAATGAGGCTGTCTGCTGGCAGCTGAAGCAGAAAGCAAGGGGTGTATTGCAGGATCTGCTGGGGGTTGCTGGCCTGGATGTTCCAGCCTTTTCTAGACATAGTTGCAGAGAGTCTTGATGGACCTTTTTCAGCACATCAGTAACACAGAAGGTGAAGACAAGTCTGTTGAATTAGGGCTGTGTGATACCCATAGAGCAGTGTCCCACTGTACCTTTCCTGCTGAACCTGATGAAAATTTTTCAGGAGCACAAGAGGAGTCCCTCAGGTTCAGGTTAGGATGGAGAGGTCTTTATCCACCTCCTGAGTGTCAGAGCCTAATCCACACCGTGGTACTTTGTGGTCTCCCAGCCCGGCTCGAGGTACAATTAGTTACATGGAACTTGGCTGTAAAGAGCGTTTGTGCATCGGGATAATGGAAAGGGTTGGAGTTAAACCTGATCCGTCAGGGCTTAAATAAACTGGGGAATGGCAGGAAAGGGCCAACGGGAAGCAAACCTCAAATGAGGGCATGGGGGAGGTGAGACGCCTGGAGAGGAATGTTTTCCCCTTGGAATTTGGAAATATTGAGCTGACGCCTGCCCAGAGCCCATTTCAGTCTGAGATAGTGGGGGTGGTCCTTGGCAGTGGGGCCAGGAGGCAGAGGGACTCCCTGCATGGCCTCCTTTATTTATGTCCCCCACAAGGAGCGGATAGCTCATTAAGCAGTCCTGGTGGCTGGAAATGGTGCTGAGCTGAGGTTTCGCTGGAGAGCGCCTGACCTCGGTGACCCATTCTCAAACCGGGCTTAATTAAACTGTCAGCACTGGACGGAAGAACAAAGCTTTGTGGGCTCAGGGGGGAAAGCCAGGGTCCCCCAGCAGCTCACTGGGGAAGAACACATCTCCTGCTAAGTGGAGGGCTGATAAAAAGATGGATCTTTCCTTCCAGTGAGGATTACCCAGGCAAGAAGGTGACCTCTTCTATTGCAGTGCCTGGTGTTGGTCCCCAGTGTGTCACAGCTGTACACATCTTGGCTCAGCAATGGTGCTCCAGTACAGCCCTGATGCACACCAGGTGCCATGGGGATGCTGGTAAATCTTCTTTCACCGTCTCTCCCAAGCTGGCAGGAGTTGGGTTTTTTTTCCCAACAGCCCCCAACAGAAAGAGCAAGCAGAGTTTCTCTCTGCTTCCTTGTGGGGGGAAGGATGAAATAGGAGTTTTGTAGCACTCTCTCCCCTCTCTGCTCAGCTCCCCTTAAAACCTCCTCCTGAAGCTGTTTCTAAGTCCCTTTGGGGGTTCTGGATGGGGGATGTGAGGAGGAGAGAGGAGTCTGGAATGGCTGTAGCAGCAGCGTGAGGACAGAAATGCTGCTGGGCGTATCATCAGGGAGGCAAAGACGTGGGCTGTTGAAATGTGCTAAAGGCAGCCAGGATGGCTATAAATAAATAGTTTTCTCCAAGGGAAGCCGAGCTGATGCGAGGGAGGAGAGGAGCAGTGGGTGCTTGGCTGTGAGGAGCTCTGGGGAGTAGCTCCTGCAGGGGAGTCACAATCCCAGATGGATGCATCCCCATGGGAGTGGCTGCCCAGTGGTTTCCCTCAACAAAAGCTGCAGTAGCTGCTCCTTGCTCAGGAAGAGTGGGAGCTGAGGGAGAGTGAGCAGAGAGTAGGGGGGAAAAAGTCTTGTCTCCAGAATGAGAGAGATTTAGGACACGGGCCACAGACTGTCGGTTTCTATCGGACCCATGCCAGCAAAAATGGTCAAGGAGATGGTGCCACATCTTAGCTGGCAGCCAAGCCCGGGGGAAGGGCTGCCATGCTGCTCTCAGTCTGTAAGGGCAGGGGCTCCCTAGAAACAGCATTAACATCTCAATCAGGGCTGGTGACTTTCTGAGCCGGGGACATGTGAAATGTTGTAGGAGCTGGGGGGATTGTCACACTCCCGTGAGACTCTTCTCCTGCGGCCAGAGCCTGCAAAGGAATAGTGATGCTCCATGTCCGGGAGCTGACAGAGGGACCAGGGGCTGGTCCAGACCCACTGTGGACCCAGGAGTATTTAAAGGGAGTTTTGAGCTGAGTGGCAGGGAGCACCACAGCTGGGTGTGCTGCCTGGTTAGGAGAGATGATATTATGGCAAGCCCTGGGGCAGGTTCCCTGCACCACCCCTGCATTTGGCTAAACCCAGCCCTAATTGCCTTTAGAAAAGCAGGCAGAGAAAAATGGAGGGCTGCTAAATAACTTGAGAAAATGCAAATGACATCCTTCAAGAAGGAGAGGATCACAACCACGCCA